GGACAACTCCGTAGAGTAGAGAGCCATTTATGGACTGAAGATTTGGAGAAAAAGACAAAATGGAGACAGAGGACAACAACAGAGAAAACGAGGAGGTGAAGGTTGAGGACGAGTTCCCGTGGTCGTACCTGGAGGAACGTTTCATGAACAGAGGGTGAAAAGGAGACGGGTCCAGATGCAAACTGTGTTTAATCTCTACGGTGACAGCAGCTCACAAGACTTCATCTAATCATCTAATCTAAGTACACAAAGATCTTAGATATTGTCACTGCCATCGGTTTGTCTGGTACTAAAATAAGACGGATCTTCTGAGCGTCTTGAGAACTGAACTTTGAATGTTATAGACAGCAAATCAAACTGAATGACTTCTATTGACAACACAATAAAACATAAATTGGTTAAAAAGTAATTAATACTCTGAGTAGTTTTTTAAAAGAGTACTTTTTACTTTTACTTAAGTTTTTTTTTTTTTTAATAACACCAGTACTTGTAATTGAGTACAATTTAAGCAGTGTAATAGTACTTGTAGTACTTGAGTGCAAATGTTCAGTACTTTTCCCACCTCTGATAGTTAGAATGAATACTGTAATAACTGGTCTTTACATGACCCCATATATCTGGAATAATATATTTATTATGTTATAGGGGTGTACTATTGTTTGGCCCATTTTATTTTATTTTTTAAATTTCTTGACGAAGCAGACATTTTAATTAACCACACGCAGGATTTACTGTCGTTTTTTCTTTACACTTGTCTCCCGCTCGGGCGTTGGATCGTGGAACTAGAGGCTGATTTTAGAATGGGATGTGCTTTATTGAACGTGCGGTCTGAGTCTGGATCTTTGTGTGCACGTTGGAGATGTTGGCTCTTCCAATCAATGCTACAGATCCAGCTCTTGGTTTAAATGCCAGTCCATCGGAGCCACAGAGTGGCTGTGGGTCAGGTGGTTATTGAAAGCTGTTATTTCTTGCTCCTGTGGGTCATCTGATGCAGTCTCATTGGTGTGTGTGTTAGTTTTGAGTATCCACATTTCATTGGTCCTACTGGGTGGATTTTCTGCTCTGAGTGATAATGAAATGAAAACTGAGCACATGGATTCAGAGCATTTTCAATAAGGAACACATTATTCACTTTTTTAGACGTCATCATAAAAAGTAACTAGTAAATAAAACCGCTTACTTTGTGCACCCTTACACCCCAGTCACAGAGACCTTTTACATAACCCATCTCCATTTGCATGAACGTGCTTATATGTTGATTAACGTACGTTAAACCTTTTTTTTTTTTAAATACACCATAAATCATCTGAAAACTCTTAACTCATCTCGGTCGTTTCCCATTATAGGTTCTCAGTGTTTGCTAACGTTATTAAACGTTCACACTGAGCGGAGCACAGGTTTCCCCAGGAAACGAGTACAGGTGATTCAAATGATTTATTTTTCCTGAGATGTTGGGGTTCACTGTGAGTTACCATGGCAACTGACATCTTCAGGGCTGGATTTTTTTAATAGTACATCGTGTAATTAATAACCACATAAAACCTCAACTGTGATTCAAAAACATAAATGATTGTTTATCGTCCAACAAGAACATATAATAATAAGCACTGAGGACTTTTGGGCAGATGGCTGCGAATATCAACTTTGAGGGTTTGCAGTTGTGGCATTTCTAATAAAGTAGGGTGTTAGCGTTGCCAAAAGCTACTTTATGAGCCCCTCTTGGTTGAATACTTTGATATTTACTTATGAGTTTCTCTCATCCTTCAACGACCACAAGTCTGTCTTTTGTACAAACTATTCTGCTCCATACGTGACTGCTCCCCTTCTCATCTGACTCGACGTGCTTAAAATAAGTTGAAAAGGTGACTTTTTGTCTTCCACGTCCTTTAAGTTCTCTCACTGTTGGCACTAATTACATTCAAGATTGTGTATAGCTTATCTAATATAGTTAATATATTTACAGAGTTACAAAACCAACTCTGATATATGTTGTAGTCATCAGTTATTTTTGAATGATGTTTATTAAAATATTCTAATGTGAAAGACGTACTTCAGCTCAGTTTTTTTTAATTAACATTTTCCGAAAGCCAGTTTAACGTTCAGGGACAGTTTATTAAATACTTAGTCGTGAATAACGCGACACAACTTGGCACATGTAATATTTTGTTTGCATGTAATGTAGCGTGCTCTTTATAGGGTGTTGCCACGGTTTAGTAAATGATGTCCACAACATTATTGATAAACTTATCTGACCAAGTTATTACACAAGTTTCATTCAGCTGTGGTTGTGTTTTTGTGAGACTTGAAATTCGCAGCAGGGAAACGGAACGTGAACACATCCTGATGCATGCTCAATAATCCAGGTAGAAAAATCCAAAACGAGTTCAATCTGGTCCTCTGGACATTCAAAAAACAACGTGAGCACCTTCACCGTTAGCACCAGCGTTCATTAGCATGTTAGCAAGCTAAACAAAAGTAAGCACCAAACAAAATGAAGGTGATTCTGGTGTAACCGAAGGAAAAACGAGTCTTCTCTCCCAGAATGATGATTCATCGTTGGATTTTAATAAATTCAAACAGAAGATAAAATAATGTGCAACAATGTTCAGTCCTCCGGGGCTCGCCCTCTCCCCCGTCAACTCCTCTAAGGCAGTCATGCCAAAGTGGTTCAAAACACCAAAGTTCATGCTCATTAATCCAGGTATGAATCCAACTATGTTCACCACTTTGGCATAACAATGTTAATATATTATACTTAACTATATAAATCTATAAATGTTTGTTACAACCATTATAGTTTAATGCACACTCACACATGCAGCCTTGCTAAGTGTATTGCACGAAGCCGGTGCACTGGTCTTTCTGCCGCATGCACTTTATGCTTATAATTGGCTTAAGCAGCACTTTTTGATGCATCAAGCTCTGCGTCAAGGTTGCATCCAGTAATAAAACGAGAAAAAGACTCATCGTCTGCACGCTGCTTTTAAAGCCTCGCTCCTTTTGATGGGGGCGACTGGGTTAGCACTTGGCTGCTGAATCGCACTATTCTAATGCATTTGATTTCCTTCTTTAAAACTCTCCTCTGTGAGGCGTCTGTGCCTGAAGGAGGGCCAGGAAGTGTCCTTGTGTGTGTGTGTGTGTTCCTGCAGCACCATGAAGACTTGTGGTGCAGGGATTAACAGAGTTAGTGGTGGGTGTGGTACTTAATGCAGGCTTGAGAGAATCCATGTGTGAGTTATAGATAATACACTAGTTTTTTTATTTTAAACTGGATATGTGCAGCGTTTGTTTCCAGAGTTACTGAGTGGACATCTTTGTGGTTTGACCTCTGTCCTACGACAGCTGCGTGCGGCTGCAGCGTCCCAAAGGGCCTCTGGCGTAGTCGCGCTGTGTGGGGGAAGTTGATTTGCGTCCCGTGAGGATTAAACTGTGGCTTTTAGAGTGTGGCGTGGTCGACCCCAGTGTTTTTGAGAAATGCTAGCTCATGACTTTTTCATTCATCGTGTCCACACCGTACGTACCTCCAAAAGCACAAAATGGAGTCCGACAGATTTTTAAAAACTGTCCGAGATCAACGTCTTTCTGTTTTCTCTCGGTTAATCCTCTCTGCAGCATAAGCACCGTCTTTAATCTCTACATCTGATTTGATCAGTTCTCTTGCCTGTCAGAACGTCCATCATGGTGCTGGCAGGTAATTTAAAATAATCGTTAAAAAAGCCTCTAATATTCACCCCTCGTTTGTCAGCGAGTTCAAAGATGTTCCTGTGCAAGCGCTGTTCTCTTATGCTCTCGTTTTTAAAAGGGATTATTTTACGACTGGGACGTCAGGTGAAAGCAATTAACAGCAGCGGACTTCCTGTCGGGATGACAGACCGAGCAGAACGCCAAGTCCTGAGAAGACGGATTAACAGCAGCTGGAATAATGACTCGTGGGCTTTTTGTTTTCCTCCTTGTCGTCATTCGTGCACCAAGATGCAAGTCCTTTCCAGAACGTGACACTTTAATGCCTCCAGTTTACACGTTCCGTCTTTATTACCAGCGTGCGTTTCATGAGAGGTTTTGTTTGTTTCCTTATGTAAAGTTGCTTTATTGTTAGTCGTCTTTCTCCTTTCAGTTAAAATGAAATCACTTTTCTGTGTCATTTTGGGAAGAATTTAGCTTTATTCTTATGCAGTTTGTTTACTTCAAGGTCAAGTCGTATTATCGGCAGAAGAAGACGATTTAAAAAAAAAAAAAAGGGAATTTAACTTGTTCAATGCATAAATCTGCTTTAATTAAAGCGTTAAAATCACATGCACATGTGGAACATGAATCTCTACTAAAGAAAGCAAATGTACTTGGTCTCGTCTCAACTTGAAGCGTTTTTATATTTGACCACCACAGACATTAGGAAGAAAGTGCAAGCGCGTTGCTTATTTGGCTGCAGTTGCAGTTCTCGTTCCATCAGTTTACAGCAGCAGCTTTTTTTGCTTTCTGTGTAAAACATCCAGGCAGGATAATCAGGATTAGTTGCTTTTCATTCGTGAGTTAAGGTTTCTCAAAGGCATTTGTTGTTGTTATTTTGCTTTTTTTAATTATCCACCAAAGTGCTAAATGAGTATAAAGCATCATACGAGGCAGTGGATAAGATAATAACATTTAGCTGTACATGCCGCTTGCTGCTCACAAGACGGTTAAATGCAAAGTGTCACCAGGTGTCTAAAAAATGCCGCAGACATTTATGTTTCTCCATCTCGCACACATGCGCTCTGTTATGCAGCGAGTCATTTTGTTAGGTCTGATTTCTTAAACGGTTATTTTTGAACGTGTCCGTGTTCTGCTGTTCCTCGTTTACAGCTTCTTCATTACAGGTAGTCGTGTTTTATCAGCTTGACTCTCTGAAACACTTCAGGCTCATCACCATGTGCTTGTGTGAAGGAGCTAGTTCTTATGTTTCATGGTGTCAACTTTTCCTAATCGTCTGTATTCACCGATTGTTTTCCTCTCCCCCCACTTCTCAGGATTCGTCCTCAGATGGCCAAGGAGAAGATAGAGGGCTGCCACGTGTGCACGCTGGTCACCCCTGGAGAACCGCAGGTCCTCCTGGGGAAGGACAAGGCCTTCACGTATGATTTTGTGTTCGATATCGACTCGGAGCAGCCGAACATCTACCAGACCTGTGTGTACAAGCTCATCGAGGGCTGTTTTGAGGGCTACAACGCCACCGTGTTTGCTTATGGACAGGTATGAAAGCAAAGCTCGAAGCTTGTGCAGGTTCTCAAAGTAGTTTACCTGCTTACAGTTTGGCGTCAGTGCATGTTAAAAGCACTAACAATGTGTCGGTCACAACTGAAACTAGAGAAACTGCATTTCCTGTGAAAATGCAGTGTGGATGCTTATTGCTGAAGAACTTGCTGAAAAACAACTGAAATTAGCTAAAAACATGCTGAAATATAGTTTAAGTAGAAGAGCAAGCCCAAGTTGGCACAAGAAAGCAGAAATAACCCATATTAGCTGATTTAGGTTTAAATTAGCAGAAATGAGCACAAGATTAGGAAATTAGCTAAAAAAAACTGAAATCAGCAAAAATACCTGGAAAGTAGCTGAAAAGGGAAAAAACTCAGCTTAAACTACCAGAAGGAAGTGGAGAGAGCACGTTTTTTGCTAAACGAGGCTGAAAAAAGTTGAAATGAGTGCAAAAAGTTTGGACTGATCTGAAAAAGCTTAAATGAGCATTAAAAGAACTACCGGTAGATAGTAGCTGAAATAACTGTGAAACTAGCAGAAATACCGGTAAGCTGAAAGTGACATAAGCTAAAATTAGCAGAAAGACGTTAATTAGGCTGAAAGTAACAGAAAATACTATAAAAACTTAAATGTATCTTAAATTAGCTAAAAAAGATGGCTGAAAAGGCAGAACAAGCTTAAATTAGCATAAGAAAGCAGAAAGAACACATTTGCCCAATTAGGCTGAAAGAAGCAGAAATTAGCACAAAATAGTCTGAAAAGTAGCTAAAAAGCAGAAAGAAGCATAAATTACCAGAAGGAAGTGGAGAGAGCACACATTTGATGAATTTAGCTGAAAAAAGTTGAAATGAATATAAAAAATGTGGAATTAGCTGAAAAAGCTTAAATTACCATAAAACAGGTACAGTATTTTCCAACGTATAAGTTGCAGTTTTTTTGCATAGATTTGTCAGTCCTACGACTTAACGCCGAAACGACTTGTATACGTTTTATTTTTCCATATTCATAACGCAATTTTTGACTGATGCTTTAAAATTTGAAGAACTGCAACGAGTCCTCCCGTGCGCGCTCACTTCACTCAGCTGGTGCAGGTGGAGGAATGCTGGAGAGCTAGCGGCCGCGATGGATGGTTGGATGGATGGTTGGATGGTTGGTTGGATGGATGAATGGCGCCACAACGCCCAGGCAAAATGAAGCTGTTTTGACCATTAAAGTGCATTTAATAAGGAAAAACACTGAGACACACCTTTGCTATAATGTTGAGCAAACAAATAATTGTTTTTAAGTGTTAATCTTGTTAAATTTCAAAGAACTTCAACAGCGAGTCCTCCTGTGCGCACTCGCTTCACTCAGCTGGTGCAGGAGAAGGAACGCTAGAGAGCTAGCGGCTCCGGCCATAATGGATGGATGGATGGTTGGATGGATGGATGGATGGTTGGATGGATGGATGGTTGGATGGATGGATGGATGGTTGGATGGATGGATGGTTGGATGGATGGATGGATGGATGGCGCCGCGCTGCCCAGGCGAAATGAAGCTGATTTGACCATTAAATAAATGCATAATAAACATGACGGGTCAGCGGTGACGCATAATAAATGCGACTTATACGCCAGAAAATACGGTATATAGTAGCTGAAATAGCAGAAAAAGCTAAAACTAGCTGAAATAAACTGAAAGGAGCATAAAACAGCTGAAAACACAGCTGAAAGTAGCTGAATTATTTTTTACATTTGCACAAGGAAGCTGAAAGAAGCTGAACCAGAACAAAATGTGAAAGGAGCAGTAAACGGTTGTAAACAGATCTAAAGATTTGAATTCAGTTTCAATTCAGTTTCAATTCAGTTTGTTTATATAGTGCCAAATCACAACAAAGTTGTCTCAGGACACTTTACAGGAACATTCACATCACATCACATAGAAAAGCCAAGTAGTAAAGTTCTCTAAGGATTAAGATGTAAAATGAGCTCAATTCATTTTCCATGAGAAAAAAATGGCAGAAAGACTAAATATATTTAAAAAAAAAAAGGCTGAAGTTGCATCAATAC